GGGGGGGGGGGGGGGGTAGAAAAAAAAAAAGGGACCCACAAACATTATCATCAGCCCTTTCCCATCATCAAACGCTAAGTCCATTTTGTTAGTCAAAGGCACTGGCCACCCATCCGACTGGAATGGCCAATTAAAAAAAAACAGAGCAATACTTGGAATAATTAATAGAGCCAAGTGCTCATTTAGCAATTAGGAGCTGCCACCAAATTCTGTGGCAGACAGAATCAACCCTAATTGTGTAATTTCCCCAGCTGACGCCTCCAAATACACAGCCAGATTTAATTGGAGATTATAGGGGCTCTTTGAAGGTGCTGGGGCTACGCAGTGGGGGCTCCAAACAAACAGATACAGAGGGGTAGGGAGCACTGGGGCAGAAGAGCAGTGTGTGAAAAGGGAGTTTTGGTTTTGTTTCAGGGCCAGGAAAAACAGCTGTAGAGAAGAGAGGTATTGGAAAGTCTCTATTTGCAAAAGCAGATCGCGGCTTGTGACAAAGCTGCAACAAACTGGCCGATGATTTGAAGCTGCTCAAGTTCCTCTTTCTTCTTTACTGCTGCCAGTCCCTGAGGGATGCCCTGTTTCTGTACTGCCCATCAGGGAGGACGCTTAAAGGAGGGTGAGCAGAGCAGGGCACTCCATGTGCAGGGCCTATCTCTGTGTTCTCCACAGGTTTTTTTCACCAAATACGACTATCTTTTACCACAGATTTCCTCTCATTCTCTTGCTTTGGTATGTCCAGCTCCAGTAATTAAAAAAAATTGGGTCAACCCCCCCAAATTAATAAGATTGGCTTCAAACTCATGGCGTCATTAGAGCCAGCTCTCCAAGTTCCTCTCTATAAATAAGAGGGTAGAGAAACTTTCTTGAACAACACAAGTAAGCCAGTAAATTGCCATATAATCGCAAGGGGCCAGGAGACAAGGTTTTTATTCCATGATGTGCAACATGACAACACTCAATGAGGCAGTCTTGGATGGATCACCTCCCTCTAAATATCCCTGCAGCAGCGGTGCCAGGGTTAACAACACAGCTCCCCAGGCTCAAGAGAAGATCTGTGAAGGGTAACCAGAGGGTCTGAGGTCAAACAAAGCGACATAAAGCACATCCATGTCACAACACACCATGTGGTTTCACCGTGCCAGCTCACTAAGCTAATCAACCATTTTTAAAGCAGAAGAAAATCCAACTTTTCATAACGAGACCTTTAAGCCAAGCCAGCAGTTACCTTCAGGTCTAAAAAAAGAGACAGCCTTGAAGTCATGAAGACCCAGAATACAGGCTATAAATACATGTGGTGAAATGTATGTTTTCCTTTTCAGTGAAGAAAAATGTCTCTTTCTGTACCATAAACCAGCTGATGTTTTGTGATACCTGTTGCTAAGAGATGTGAGTTTATGACAAACCACATTAAAAAAGTACAGAACGATGAATTTCGCTCATCAGAGGTACGTTGCAGCAGGAACAAATCCTGACCAAACCTGACCCTCCCCTATACCTCTACCAGGCTTTAGCAGGCATCAGGAGCCCTGAACACCTCTGCAAAGGAGCCTGTCACCTTGCAGGTCACCTAGCCCTTAATTAGAAGCTATCAGAAAACCACTAACTGCTGCTGATGGGTCGACCTGGCACTGTAACTCACCATTACTGTCCACATACTGCACGACAGAGTGGTATGGATTTACTACAGTGGGAGACCTGTTTTAAGGAGTCCTGTGTGTCCAATGCTATGGGCAGGAGAAATTTTCCAGTCTTGTTGAACTTCTGCCAATGTACATAGCTGATTGGGAGTTCAAATGCAAGACATTTATTTATTAAAAACACATACACACAGGCAGCTTGCTTTGCAGAAATATAAAGAGCATAATAAAACACAACACTAACGCCTCTGAAGCATGTAATGATCCTGATTAATGCTATTGCACTTAAAGAAACAAGCACTGGGACTGAAAGAAATTCAGTGTAAAAGCACTGAGAGGCTCCATCCTGGGGCTCCCTTCTCCATGTGAGGGAAAGAAAAAGCCAGTAAAGCCAAAGGGGTTGCTCCTGCTTAAGGCATTAGTAAATTTGGCCCTTGGCTAGTGTAAATTTTATGCTCTGCCTCCAGCCAAGGTGCTGGTAAGGACCATAATCCAACAAACTAAAAATAAAACAGGCCAAGGCTTGCAATGGTGTAGAACTGGTGTAACGTCAGTGTAGTAAAAAGGAGTGAGGAAGGAGAAATTTTAACTCTAGCTCATCAAGTCAGATTGGCAGAAACAAGTCCCCCCTCCAGAAAAATCACACTAGTGTTGCTGTAGGATGTTGTAGCAGTGATACCACTCTGGCAGCTCTTTCTGAATTTTTAGATAAACTTCATCATGGTACCATCCTAAGGTCACTGATCTCAACATGGAGAAAGCTGCTGTCCAACCAGGTGAACATCCAGATCAGCTGGTATGTTTAGGAGCCACATCTCTTTGAAAGAAAAAGGCTCTGCATCCCAAAAAAAGAAATTACCTGTATCTTCTGACTCATCGTCATCATCTTCATCATCACCCGATGAAGGGGAATCTAGGAGGAGAAGGAGAAAGAAGTGAAGCTGAAAGAGGATGGCATGTGGAGACACTGTGTCGGACAAGGCTGCCAGTGCCATGGTGGGCTCCAGTGAGGGAGAACATCTGAGTGATTGGCCACCCTTCCCTGCATCTCCACCAGCCCATCCCTCCCACGTTGCTGAGCTGGTGACAACAGCCAGAAGATTTCTGAACTGGCTGAGAGGTGTCACAAGTTTGCCAGTGCTCTGCCACCAAAGAGAGGGGTCCAGTGCCAAATACTTCTTTCTCCCTGTGTGAAGGGGAAGTTTCTTTTCACAGGACAAGCTCTCCCTCGCTGTTTTTTCTCCTAGCACTCACTCTGAAGCCTTTTTACTTTACCAAGTCTCAAAATGACAGATCAGCATTTCTAATTGACTTTCCCTGCATTTTTCTTTTAATACAATACACCTCTGCCACGTCCCCCCTTGGTAACTCCTTGCTAAACCACTCAAGACCAAAGCTTTTAAAACCTCCCATTGCAATGAAACCTCTCTCTCAACAGATGTTTTGATGGCTATTCCATGAGCCAGTCCCCTTTTGTTATGTTCTTCCTAGAGAGGCATCTTGAAGCTGTAACTGAATACAGGTTAATAGGTGGGAATTCTGCATCTATACCTCTCCAAAACATCCTGAATTGTTTCTCTTGATGTGGCCTAACACCTCACCTTCTCCAGCCTGTCCACAATAAAGTCTTGATCCCTTTTCCCCCCACCAAATTACCACTGTAAATGTAACTCCCATGGTAAAATAGCAGCTTAGTGTTTGATTTAGTTTACACAATTCAGTACAATTCAGTGTCTGGAAAATTTAGCATCACTGACTTCATACATCTCCAGGAATTTCTTTTTTAAATAAAGGCAAAATGCTAAGAACCCAGCAGCCTTTATAGTCTGAAACAATGGTAAAAGAACTACAGAACTTGGCCTTAAACACTAGAAAATAGGAAACTTCATGAGTGTTCAACATGTGACCAAAAATGTAAAGCAATAAATCAGACCGAGTCACGCAGAATCTCCTTCACTTCAAGACACAGTTGAGTTTTCTGCCATTCCCTGGCCCACTAAGTGATAAGAAAGCATGGAGGTAAAAATGAAAAAAATAAAACCAAACCAAAAAACAAAAACCACCAAAAAAAGGGAAAAGGCAACAACAAATACTATTTCTCTGCAGCATCTGGAAGGACTTCCCAGACATATTCACTATGTATAGAAGGAAGTTACACAGGAATCATCTCCCTGCTTTAGACTGCAATGGCACTTGGTGCTCTTTACCTTCTCTTTGGCTATGTCTCAGGAAGGCTTCAAGCACGTACCTAACTGCAAATCCACAGCTGAGGTCCTGCTGGCAGAAGAACTAGGGAAACGCCACAGGGCTTGCTGAAAGTGAAGTGGATGTTCAGGTGTTTCAGCTGAACCAGCAGGTTTACTCAAGTCCCAGCAAAGGCAGGAAATGAGCCAAATACCCACCAGCATTGACAGAGAAACCAGCACATTCTCAGCCCTGCACTCTCAAATTTGGTTACCCATATATTAACATGTGATTATAGTTTACTTCTAGTTTCCAATGAACCAATTGTGACCAGAGGTGCAGAATCAATTTTTAAACCAATTTAAAACCAAAAATTTCCACAAGATTCAAGGAAGAGTTTTTGACCTTGCTTGTGCTTCAGAACAGAGATGCAGCTTAGATTGCAAGACCAACCATCACATCTTCAGAGCTACTGTCTTATTCGGGTTTCTAAAACATCACCTTTTTCAAAACATGACTAAAAATGTGCAAGGTATTTGTTAATGATTTACTAAAACAGTAATACTTTTCAGAAGTTGATGACTATTTGTTATCATCAAGAACTGCTAGATGCCCTTCTCAAAAGGGCTTTCATTATGAATGGAAAGGAGGTTAATTTTTTGGTCACCTGTTTTGAAGGTATCAGTCTTGGGTAATGTGAAAGCTCTTTTTGTTGGTACCAGCCTACAGGCCGTGCTTGTCACAGGGGTGCTGCTCACCACTAAATCCAAAGGCTGTTCTGTGTGTGAAATGACTGCAGAAATGGAGCTTCTGCCAACAGGGCTGGCTGGAAATCAGTTTGGGCATGCAGCCTCTATGTGTGATCCTCTTTAAGTGCTCAGGTTTTAAGAGGACAGTATGTTTCTTTTTGTAAACTAGCAAAACACTCAAGCCCATGTCTGTCATGAGAGGCATTTTAAAGAGAACAAACCCTGCTATTAATCAGCCTGGTTTTCAACCCTGAAATGCCAGTGCCAGCACCTCCTTGCTGTACCATCAGCTTCAAGCATCTCACTGCACACTGAGAGTTGCTGCAGAAGAGTCAACTTTTGCAGACTCAAAACTCATGGCCCCATGAAGGAAAATCCTAATATGCTCCTAGAATCTGGAAGCACCTCTCAAAAGGGGACTTCAGTGTATACCAGCTATTCTGAATATACCTAGTCTAGTTTTTCTCACTTAAGACTCCAGATCGAAGCAATTCCGGTTTGTTAGTACAGATTTAAAACAGTTTAACAGAGAACAACTCCAGCCCCAAACATCAGATACTGACATAAACACCCAACCAGAAACCCCAGCTAATCACTGGCATTACCTTTAAGAAGTGGGAACACAAACCACAAATCTCTGATAACAATCTCATTGCTACAGTGCCACGCTGAGCAATCGATACTAATTATGAAGAAATATCTGAGCGTAGAAGAGGCGCCACCATTGCCACATAAAGCAGGGCTTCAAAGTTTAAAACAAGGGCTGCTGACAGCTAAAATGGAGACTCCCACATTACCAGCACTTTGGTGGTAATGACAGTGGGCTAATAGAATCAAAGACTCATAATGCTGTCAGAAAGCAGGTTCAGGTTACTCGCTTGTTCTGAAGCTGTTATTAGCTATTATTAGCAAAGAGGAAAAACACAGGGGCTTAAAACTTTTTAAAAGCAGAGGATTATCAGCCCCTCCACTATGAAAAACAGTTTCTCACTTTACGAACTTTTGGGGCTGGCAGCTGTTTCATTTGAGTGTGTAACCAGCTGCCCTCTTCTACCTCCCTGCTGCCCCCTGAACTCAAAAGCATTTTAATGTCACTTAAAAAAAGAGAGTAACGTTTCTAACAACCTGCAGTTCCTTGGATAGTTCAAATAATGGTACCTAGTTACAGAAAGCCTTTCAAGGGCCAAATACTTCTTTAACCATTTAATTGATATGACCTTGAAGCATTCACAGCAATCTCCAGTAACTGTCAATGAAAAGCAGATGTTGGTGAAGGCTTGTTGAAACGAGCTTTTATTCTCACGATGGTTTGAATCTCTCACTTACACAAAATCCTATTTCTGGCATGAGAAAGCCCTTTATGGAATGGATGTGATTTACACTCACAAACATCTCTGTGTTTGGTTTTCAGACACAGCCCCTTACTTTCTGAGGGAACTCAACTTTTGAAGGCAAGGACCTACTGTTTGGGGATGCTTGAAAAAGCTCCAACAGCACAAGGGCAAAGGGGAGTTTTCAAAACTTAGATCCACACGGGGTTACTTCTGAAAATTCAGGCTTTTAATCTGTGTGATCACAAGGCTTTCTATCTGCCCACAGTGATGAGTATCCATGTACCAACACAGCAGCCTGAGATCATGGAGATTATCTTAGTGTTAGCAGTTAGCTAGCTGGGAACAACAGATTTTTCTGGTAGTGTTTAGTGATTCAGGCTTGGACAGCTTGTAGCTGTTCTGTCCTACTGTCCTAATCACGGAAAATATGGCCAAGCAAACAACAGCATGTGCTTTGCTAACGTAGCACTTGTTTGCAATATATGAATCCCAATGAGTACCTTTGATGAAGCACATATTTGAGATTTACACAGTTTACAGAGAAGCTACTTCCAAAACAAACTAGTAATTTGTGATAACTGGGATAGAGAGAAAAGATTTCTCAGCTACAACAGGGAAATAGTTTTCAGGAACCTCCAGCTTTTACATCAATTTTGCCACTGATTTGTCACATAAAGTGAAAAAAGTCACTTAACCTCCCTGAGCCAAAGTTCACTCTCTCACAAAAGCCTTCAAAGGCACATGTAGCATTGCATCTATTTGAGTGTAAAGGAGGATTTGGGGTTTAATCTGACTAGCCCCATTTCTAAGTCTCTCTCAGTATTAACATCAAGCTTTAACATTTGGCATGGACATGCAAGCTTTCTTTGATTGGTTTGTTTTGTCAGTCTAATCACTGCCAGGAGTTACCGAGAAGGTAGAGACCTACCCAGTATGTGAAGGTACAAAAATTTAAAAGAAAAAATTAGAAAAGCACTGCAACAGTTGTATTTCTACAAGTACCTGTAACTCTGACTGTAAAGTTTCCCAGGACCTCGTTGGAATGCCTTGGCTTGCAACTGTACAGTCCTGAGTCATCATAGGATACATTGATTATCTTCAACAGTTTTTGTCCAATATGCGTTCTGTTGGTAGGTGCAATCCCAATACCATCTTTAAACCAGAAAACAGACACAGAAGAGCCTTGGGTGTTACAGGAAAGTTCAATGGTATCTCCACTTCCAAACACCAACTCTTCTAGAAAGGCGGTCTCGCTCCTCAAGTATTCTGCAAAGGGAGAAAGAAATGGAAATTAATAAAGAAGTGCAGGTATCAGAGAATGAGAAAGCATTTTAAGTATAAACTTATATTTGCTCTACTGATGTTTCCAAGTGTCCAGACCTCTTCCTTGCCAGAGGTAAGCCTTGCCTGCTCCAGGCAGGCAGTAATAGAGAAAGACAGTCAAGTCTCTGGCTGATCTACAAGGGTGGCTCCAACCCTGTAGTGACCAAAACAGTCATCCCACCAGCTGCATCATCACAGACCTCTGTGAGTAGCCATTACAACACCTAAAGTTGCATGTGGGGGTGATCTAGCAGAATTAAGTATGTTTGCTGCAAAGTTCACAGTTCAGTCTCTGGATCTTGATTTCTTTATTCCTGCCAGTCTGTCCAAAACCCCTGAGAGACCCAGCAAGAAGGGGACATGAGAAAAGAAATGGGAATAAACATAATTTCTCAAGTGACTCTGGGTATCCCAAAGGCAACCTCTGTGTGCTGAAGGAAACAAGGGAGAAAGGGACGCAGGTGGAATGGCTGAAATAAATGAACCCACCACCAGCTCAATGGAGTTAACTCTGCAACAAAGAAGTGCAGAACTGAAGAAGACCAAACACAAAGGATGAAATGCCTGTTTCTTCAGTCTATCTACCAGCTGCAGCAGTTTGCTTCACTAGTGAGGACAGTGAACACTGCCACTAACTGGAGAATTTGGTTTTACCATAAGGCAAAGGGAAAGGTTCAAGCACAGAAGTCTCCCCATGGAGGAATGAGGGCTGTGTTGAAAGTGTGGTTCTTGGATGTGATGATCCTCAGGCTCATTATAGTGAACTATAAACTCACTTTTGACATTCAGTGGTTTATCCATCCTTGACATGAGTATAACAGAGAAGAATTAGCCCTTTACAGCTGTCCTCAACCCAGCCAGACCAACAGCAAAGAGTGTCATTCTCCCCATCTGGTCTATGCAAACCAACATTTCCACTTGGCATTGCCCTGTCTCCTGCCCGCTCTGAGACCAGGGTCAGAAGAACCTTCTTGGTTTCTGTACAATATATATCATGGGGGATCCTATTCCACAACAAAGACACATCAGTGCTACGATTATATAATTAACAAGTAAAAAGTAATTCAAAACAGACCAGTCTGAAGTTAATCCCATCATCCAAACCCAGATGGCCTGAGCTGATCTCCAGTGGTAATCAGATATGGATAGAGATCCTAATTTTGCAGTTTAAGCCTATTCATAATTACAATTTGACTGTGAAACCAATGCAATTACAGCAGCTCTGTATGTCTGAGGACATGGCATTGGCTTCAAGCTGCTCTTTTGCCATCAAGTGAAAGAGTTGGAGCAGATTATAAGAGAAAAATGTATTGCCTTTCTACTCTTGTCACCCAAGTTTTTATTCTGAGTGTTGACTCACAGTCTCTTCTCAACTGGGATATATCCTTGGGGAAAATAGGGTTGAGAAATATTCTGGTTCAAGTCTATAAGAATTTTTTCAATGGTACCAACTTTGGCTTCCAATGAAAAAGCTGGTACAGCAGGACTGGGTACTGATCTTTGTTGACTCCGATGGAAGCGTTTACTAATTTAATGTACCGGAAAACAAACCCCATGCAGCTGCACAATTCCTCCATACAAACTACACAGTTTTACCCAAGCTGTTTGCCAAATGATCAAGACTTGTATATTTTGGCTTTTACATAATAAACCTACCAAACAGGAACAAGCCCAGACTAAGCACAAGCCAAGCTGTACTGTTTAGCCATTTAAAAAGAAATCACTCTTTTCTGAAAGCCGTAACGAACCTGCTCTAATGACGAAGCGACACACTAGTTTTATAAAACATCATTAGGAAATGCTGAAATTGAGAGGAAATTCACTTCAGATTTAGCAGAACAACTGGGGTCTGAAGCTTCTTCCATGGGAAGAAGCATCATCTCTTGTTTCTGGCAGCTTTATTTTGGAATCTCTTCCCTCAGTCTCCCCAGCAGGTATCCTGATGCCTGTTAAATGTAATCTTCAGTCCTGGTGACTTTATTCCTACTGACTGAGAATAATAACTTGGAAGACTGAGTGGTGAATTAAAAGGAGAATATGATGAATGGTTTTAATGCCACTTCTTTACTCAGTTTTTCAAGTTTCACTTTATATGCCTATGGCTTAAAAAAATAAACAGGACCCAAAATAGAGACCTCCACAAAGTACTTTAGTGTGCACTTAACTGCTTAAGTACTTTGCCCAATTGCAACCTTGGAGAATCAAATTTTACTGTCATTATTTCTCATACAGCTTTCAAATACAATGATAAATCAGACAGTTTCATTTCCTTGCTGAGAACAGCTGGAGTTCAAAGCAGGGAACCAGAACTCACATCTCCTGCTGGGCACACAGAACTTCCTTCCCTCCTTCTATGTGCAAGTGCCTCATGTTTCCAACACCTTCTCAAGAGGAAGGACAGTTCCTCCCCCATCAAGTCATGAAGGAGACATGATGTTGTCCTTCCTGAGGCCAAGCATCCAGCTATCAGATGGACCTGCAGAAGTGTACATCTCCACCCATGTTGCATGAACAAAGCAGCAGGAACTGTGTGTACAGCCTGTGCATGGAAGGGGTTGGGTGGGGATGGGGTCACCGCCTTCATCCTGCATCTTCCATCAGTAAACCATAAGGTAACAAGCACGGGGGAGCAGGCGCCGAGCTCTCCCAGCATGTTTGCCTCTTCCATCTGGTCACACACCTTTGATTAAGGCAGTCTGAAAACTTCCCACCACAAAGCAGCACAGCAGGGAGGCAGGTTTTCACAGTTCCTGGGGCTACAAACACACATCTCCTGGATCTCAGTCCCAGGTCCTAAGAAAACCACGCTTGCTGCTGGCAAACAACTACTCCCACACATCCTTTAAAACTTCCCTAAAAACCTATTGCAGGTCAGGTAGCAAAGGTTCTCCCCAGCTCTCCCAAAGGAAACTGCCATTTGGGATCTAACTGATATTAAGAGCACCTTTTCAAAAACAGTAGACACAGGTATCCATGGGGAGTTACACACTGGGGAGTTAAATCGAGTCGGGGTTACAGACACCCACTCCACCACTTGCCAGTAGATGAAAGGATTAATGAGTTTGCAGCTTTAATGGGTTCTCAGAGAGGAGAAGGCAATCTAGGTTGTGGGCTCCCAAGATATTACTAAAATTCAACCATTTATTAGTTTAGCCAAAGCAGTAATGAGACAAGAATCACCAAAAGATGCTTCTGACGGAGATCAGCACTTGCAGCATCATCCCTGCTGCTCACAGCAAACATGGTACAGAGGAGGAGGCAATTTTTCAGTGTTCAGAGGAGCAAAAAGGCAGCGACTAGCTGGAAAGCACCTTCCACAATGAGAAGCAGCTGGGCCAGCAATGCTAAAATGCTTTTGTATGTATTCACTTAAAAGGATAAGATACTTCATCTCTGTAGCTGCTTGGCTCATCCCAGCAATAATTCACTTTCTATGTGGTTCGCAGCTCCAAGTGCTCAAGTGTGTCAGTATTTCCATCAGATGTCTGCTCCTCTTAGGCATCAATAATTGTTTCTGGGTGAGCCTGGAAATGTTTTATTTTGGTTTTAATGCAGGCAGCTCTCAAGAACGACAGGAGGATATGCAGTTTGTTATTTTTCAGGCACAAAAGGATGAGGAGGTGGAGGGTGGTTTGGTATTCCTGGGCTGCTCAAGGACCCCAAAAAAAACTTCCAGCCAGCCTAAAGCCTGGTTTGTGCCCTCCTCAGTGTCAGGGACCATTTCCAGGGGCTCTAGCAGAAAGCATGGAGGCTGCTCCCGGATGGCGAAGGCCATGTTGCCCACAGGAGGCTTGGTGGGGTAGGAGAGCCCTGAGCCACTCTGCCACCTCACAAGGTGCTGGGTTCTGGCTTCAAGACACTCCATCTGGTTATTTCTCTTCACCTGTTTTTCCTTCTGGAATAGCTTCCCATGATTCTGCTTTCCAAACACCAAAGTGTTTGGGAACCTCCCCATCATCACCCTCGTCCAGCAAGCATCCCACAGCCAAGGCATCCAACCAAAACCTCACCAAGACTCCCAGTCACAGAGGGCTTGAGGAAAACAACCTTCAGTACCATCACCAAAATAATCCTCACCCCACCTTGAATCCTGGCGATCCCAGAGAGGCTTTTTGGGATTGCTTCACAGCCCAGGGGCGGAATGGACCACGCAGCTCCCTTCCACATGGATCATATTTTCCCCTTTTCAAGCTGGACAAGCAGTATTTGGCATGTTAACATGCAGAAAGATAAGCAGTACTCCACACATTTCTCTCTTCTAGTTAATTCAGAAATGTTTCTTTTTCTTTGTATTTTATTGCACCAAATCCACCGTGACAGGATATATTAGAGGATCACAGAGCTACAACCATGCCAGAGCTTTCTCCTGCAGAGTCTGGTATCCCGTTCCCAGGGAGATTATGGTCACAGCCACCGAGCTGGTGGCTAAATGCTGAAAGGATACAGAAACCTCCAGCATCAGCAGGATGAACAAGGCCATGATGTCAAAGAGCAAATAGACTATTATCTCCAGGCTCAGAGCAGCTCCATGTCCTCCATGCGGGCTCAGCTCTGGTAAGTGTCCCACCCGTGTTAATAAAGCGTTAATAGTATTATTCACCCCCCACAACAGTGTTTTTCCCAATGCCTGTGTCACTGCTTGTGGGATGGGGCTGCTTCCCACCTCACCTCAGAACTTCTGCACAGGGAAGAACAAAACTCACTGCCCAGAAGAGAAACAAAATACTTTTCTTGCTGAACACTGTTCATTTGGGACTTCCCTTAATTTAAACAGAAGCCAGGAGGGGTTACAGGGGGTGACAAAGAGGTGACAAGCAGCCCTAGTGCCATCTCCTGTGAGCATCCTACCATGTCCCTCATGTTGCCTCCAGCTGCCCAGACAAGCAGCCAGGCCCCAGGAGAATACTGGAAACCACCAAACCAGCCCCAGGCATTGCACCCATCAGCAGCCCCAGGGTGAGGTGGGCAGATAAGATCATGGGATTGCCTGTTTATCCAAGTGCCTGCCTTGTCAGGGCAGATAAGATCAAGGGAGCAGCCCTGCAGCAGAGCTCACCTAAAGTCACCACATACCCTCAAAGCACAGTGGGCAGCATTTTTTATATCATTATTTTTGGCAGTGCTTTATGCAGGGCAGAGCTTCCTTTCCTTTCTGCAGCAACCACAACAGCATCAGTGGTGGAGCATCCTTGCCTGGTCACAGCCTTGATGCCCAAAGGGCACATCACCAGCCTGGCACAGCAAAATATAATATATAAAATATAATATATAAAATATTTACCTATATATATTCAACATATATAATTTATAATATGTTACATACATAACATATTTTATGTGTATGCTATTGTATATTATCCATAACGTAAAAAGTAATATAGAAAATACAGATGAATCTTATCTCTCCTCCCCATATTTTCTACCCCCTCAAGACCAAGTTCCCTCTTGGAGCACCTTTCCCAGTGTCAGCCTGCAGCTGTCCCAGGAAGAAGGGGCTGCACTCCATCAATCACAGCAGCACTGGATGGTTTTCCAAAGCACCATAATTTCCCACAGTGGTGTTAGGTGGGTTATCTCCCCTGCTCAGTGGAGCTCAAACCTCAGCAAACAAGAAAAGATTAAAAATCTGGTTGCTTCTGTAACAGCCTAAACCATGATCAAGAAATGTGCCCTTAGGAAACCATGTCTGAAAGGGTTTGCCTCCATCATTTGAAGGTGCCACTTTATCTTTCATCTATTGCACATCTTTGCCTGGAGGTGGGGGGGGAATATAGTTCTGGAAAAGCTTAAAATAGGTTTCC